GATGTACTCTTTCCTGTAGGGTGATAAAGTCCCCTGAGAAATCCACTCAGAAACTGCTTGTCAAAGCAGCAGTTTGGGTTGTAGCTGGGGCTGTGCTGAGTCCCCTTCCCACTGAACCCTCGCTGTGTTAGCTCTGCCCTGCCGGTGTCGGTTTCAGCATTTGCAGCGGGGCTTTGCAGCATTCGTTGCTTTCACAGTCCTCCTTAGGCATCTGAGCAAACGCTGTCCCACTCAGCAAGAACTCGCTCCTTGCTCTTGTCAGCCACCCGATTTAACTTCACAGCTCATCTCTAAAACACTTACAAACATGTCTCTTCCCTCCCTGTCAATCCGGCGTCCTGGGGATTTGGAATAGGGGTTTCTGAAGAGCCTTCCTGACCTTGCTTTTGTTATTACTCCCTTCGTATCTGCAGGGATCTGGCTCTGGGAAGCAGTTCAGAGTACCCTCGTCCTCTAGATCAGAGGGCAGCGGTGCAACTTTCTTTCCCTTTGGATGGTCTCTTGATCAGGACCTCTGCTCTGCACACACTGGGCAAGAGCAAAGACCCATGGAGGCTGGTACCCAGGCTCTGCAGCAGCGAGTGCCAAGGGGAACGTAGGAAAAAGGACAAACACTGCTTATATTTCTTGTAATGTACCCTGGGAAATACTATTGCAGAAAGTTCACAGCCTACCACAGTAGATGCCCCTGCTCCTTTATTCATCACCCTGTAGGTGATGTCTATACATAGTCCTCAAGGACTCACGTGTTTATGCAAGCATCACTTGCCTTTTCTGTAGGAGGCAAGGGTAGTAGAGTTTGTCAGAAGTGATCTGTAAGGATGCAGTCAGTTCAGAAATCACATTTGCTGTTCGTAGGAGCTGGACAGAATGAAAGACAAGGTTTAGACTCTGTGCAGTATGGTTTGTAGCATCTTACAGCCTAATTCCGCCAGAGTTCTGCATTTGGACTGGCTTGTTGCCTTGGCAATATCCTTTCCTGAAAATTCGTATTTTTTAGTGTTTTGCAGATCTCAAGTTCTATCAGTGATCCTACCAAATTTGCCAGCAAGCATGCGTTTTTATTAAATGCTATTTATTCCAAAAGCTCTTCTTAGGCTGAATTCATGTAATTGCAAAACTAAAGAACAAGTTAGCTTTGTTTTGTCAAAGCTGGTAGAAATGCAAGAAGATGGTCATGGGTGTAGGATTGGATAAGAATCCATCCTTGCAACGGAGTTCTACCTAAGCAATAAAACATTAAGACCCCTTTGCATGCCAAAAAGGTTGAGTAGATAAAACACTCTGGGAATGCGGATATCTATCCTGTGGATTGTATAGCAGAGACATTTTGCCAGTCTTTGTCTAGCAGAGCAGAAGACTTCTTACTGTGCTCTTGGCTTCTTTGCATGTCGCATAAAGATCTGCAGAGCTCGAAAGGCAGTGTGTTGTTTTAAAAATAATGCAGCAGAACCTAGCTAGTAGCACAGCTTCCTGTCCACATTTCTGTAAGAAAGAAAGCCTTGTCAATCCACCTTCCACTGAAGGCTGCTCTCTTTTCATCTCCCTCCTTCATTCACTTTCCTTCTGCTCATTTTAGATACTGCTGTCAAGCTGCTTCTCTTTTTTTTTTTTTTTTCTCCTCAGCCTTGAATCCTGTTGTTAAAATCCCACTTTCCTCTGCATTTGGTTTTAAGCTCCTCCCTCAAATATTTAGGGTAGAATCTCCATTGTCCACATCTTTTTCTTTGGACTTGTCTCCTATGTTTTCCTTCCCTATGCTGGAACTCACTCTCGTCCCATGTTTTCTGTTTATTTTCCATCAGGGTGTTTGCTGGTATTCCTTGAAGGGACATAAGCAGATAAGAGGAGCAAAGAGAGAAAAATTAAAAGCTAACATAAAAATGAAAAACTGTAGGTAGTTAATTGATTGACCTGGTTTAGAGCATATTTAAGTGTGAGGCGTATGGTACGGACTGAACCATGATGCAGCTCAAAAGCACTTTGTGGAGCAGAAGCATCCCATATAGTTTGGATAGCACTTTAGTTTCATTGTTTCATTGTCCAGGCTTTTCTTCTGGACCTGGAAGAGTTAAATCAGTATTTTGCCTTTGACTGCAGAACTAACTCGTCATAAGGGTCGCTAGACCCCAGTTTAATCCAAGTTGATGCTTTTTAGCATCGTAACGACACCAGCCATCTCTGCTGTAGTAGCTGATGTTTGTAGCAGTCAGGGCTCGTGTTTAGGCTGACATCAGCAGGGATCCTGGCCGGGGCGGTTGTGCATTAAAAGAAACAGGGAGTCATGGTAACTCCCTATTTGGGTGACTGTTTTGTTCAGACCATCCCCTCTTCCCCCCGCTGCAGAGCTTATATGCACTGTGTCAAGGATGCTGGAGCCCTTCCAGGGCTGGGACTAACTGAGCTGGACCAAGAACCTTGTGACACCATCCTGCACATGGGCTGAATGAAATCTAAAGAATTTAAAATCCCAACTAAATGTGTTGGGACAGAACCGCTGGAAAAAAAATGTTGTTGTTGAACTTAATTAGCGGCGCCAAGTGAGCAGGTCCCACTGGCTCAGCACCCGAGCACAAAGGGAGCACGTCAGGTCATTGCAAGGGCAACGGGAGAATAAAAAGGGCAGGATGGAAAAAAAGACCTGGGCCAGGAGCGTGACACAAGGAGAACTGCCAGCTTCCTAAACGCTTGTTCAGAGCCAGCTTTCCAGAGAGGCCGGGAGGCTGGGCTTAGTTGGCCGGCAGGGATTATATGCACCTATGGTTGAGTTGAACTGAACTTATTTTCTGTAAATATAGGTTGGTTCAGAAGGAATCATGATGATCTGGAGCTCAGTGCTGCAGCTGCAGCAGCCTACCTGTATAAATGTGGGTAGCAGGAGTGTTGCTGAAGCTTGTAGGGTTTATGCTGCATTTGACAGTCTGGAAGCATGTCTGAATGAATTAGTTCCCAAAAACGAGGGTAGTTGGGCAGGCTGTTTCAGAAATGGCTAGAGAGGACTGCTAACCCCATAGCTGTCTCCTGTGCTCAGCTCAATGGTGGCTGTGGCTGCTTTGCTACTGGGTTGGGAACGAGAAAGCTATGAGCAAACGGTGCGTCGGCCCCGCAGCCCATCCAAGCAAACAGGAAGATGCTTTTGTTGACTCAAGCAACCTCTGGAGCTTGTTATTCCTTGAATTCTTGCAACCGAAGTGGGATGACCCACAGAAAGATGCTGTAGGTAGACATGAGGTTTGCTGATTAAAATCTGCTGTTTATGCTGTGAAAAAAGCCTGAGCCCTGTGCTCCTGCACACCTGTCTGTGCGTGTGTTTAGTCTTTTTTTGTAGATTCCTTATCCTATAAGTGGGTAGCCTCTTCTGTCCCTTCCTACCCTCCCTCTCTGCCTCAGGCCATCATTTCTGCTGTCACAGGAGAAACCCTGGGAATGACGGAAGGAGCCACGTGCCCTGGCTTATGTGAGCAGGCATCTACCCTGGGCTCATGGATTCCAGCCATAGAGGAAGGTGGTTTATTATCATGACGGTGGCAGGAGCCATGATGCTCCAGCTGAACGGGGTGGCTGCAGACCGTGCCACCCACCCGT